AGTAATAATACAACCAATAATAACACCACAGTACAACCAATAATAACACCACACTGTTCAACTAGTAACAATACAACCAATAAAAACACCACACTGTTCAACTACAAACAGTACAACCAATAATAACACCACACTGTTTAATTACAAACAGTACAACCAATAATAACATCGCATTGTTTAACTACAAACAGTACAACCAATAAAAACACCACACTGTTTAATTACAAACAGTACAACCAATAATAACACCACACTGTTTAACTACAAACAGTAAAACCAATAATAACATCGCATTGTTTAACTACAAACAGTACAACCAATAAAAACACCACACTGTTTAATTACAAACAGTACAACCAAAAATAACACCACACTGTCTAACTACAAACAGCACAACCAATAATAACATCACACTGTTCAACTAGTAATAATACAACCAATAATAACACCACAGTACAACCAATAATAACACCACACTGTTCAACTAGTAACAATACAACCAATAAAAACACCACACTGTTCAACTACAAACAGTACAACCAATAATAACACCACACTGTTTAACTACAAACAGTACAACCAATAATAACACCACACTGTTTAACTACAAACAGTACAACCAATAATAACATCGCATTGTTTAACTACAAACAGTACAACCAATAAAAACACCACACTGTTTAACTACAAACAGTACAACCAATAATAACATCGCATTGTTTAACTACAAACAGTACAACCAATAATAACACCACACTGTTTAACTACAAACAGTACAACCAATAATAACACCACATTGTTTAACTAGGTTCACGTTGACTACGGGGTTTAATATACATGATGAAACTAGACGAGATGAAAGTTGAAACCTGTCTATGGGTAGTGCTAATAAAACATTTACTTTTAATATGTGGACTATCTTGTAAAGTAAATGTAAACTTTGATCAAAACAACATCTCTAGTCACGTGACTTGTTAACCAGTGTATGTGCTGCTGCTCTGTAGGTCATGTGACTTGTTAATGGGTGTAGGTGCTGCTCCTCGGTAGGTCATATGACTTGTTAATAAGTGTAGGTGCTGATCCTCGGTAGTTCATGTACCTTGTTAATGGGTGTAAGTGCTGCTCCTCTATAGGTCATGTGACTTGTTAATGGGTGTAAGTGCTGATCCTCGGTAGGTCATGTTACTTGTTAATAAGTGTAGGTGCTGATCCTCGGTTGGTCATGGGACTTGTTAATGGGTGTAAGTGCTGATCCTCGGTAGGTCATGTGCCTTGTTAATGGGTGTAAGTGCTGATCCTCGGTAGGTCATGTGCCTTGTTAATGGGTGTAAGTGCTGATCCTCGGTAGGTCATGTGACCTGTTAATAAGTGTAGGTGCTGATCCTCCGTAGGTCATGTGCCTTGTTAATGGGTGTAAGTGCTGATCCTCGGTAGGTCATGTGACTTGTTACTGGGTGTAAGTGCTGATCCTCGGTAGGTCATGTTACTTGTTAATAAGTGTAGGTGCTGATCCTCCGTAGCTCATGTGCCTTGTTAATGGGTGTAAGTGTTGATCCTCGGTAGGTCATGTGACTTGTTAATGGGTGTAAGTGCTGATCCTCGGTAGGTCATGTGACTTGTTAATAAGTGTAGATGCTGATCCTCCGTAGGTCATGCGCCTTGTTAATAAGTGTAGGTGCTGATCCTCGGTAGGTCATGTGCCTTGTTAATAAGTGTAAGTGCTGATCCTCGGTAGGTCATGGGACTTTTTAATGAGAGTAGGTGCTGATCCTCCGTTGGTCATGTGCCTTGTTAATGGGTGTAAGTGCTGATCCTCAGTTTTTTGACCGTTGATGACCAACTGTTGATGAGTTTATCTCTATTTGGGTATCGCC